ATTCTCAATTTTGACAGTGTCACTCCTTCTACCCTTTCTAACTATTGAACTTACTCTCTTCCGGTATAAAAATGCTTCTAACAATAGCCAGGTCGAGGCCGAAGTTTTAAAGGCGAAAACGTGTACGTCGGACGTTCGGCGCCGTAAGCCTAGAAGTTTGACGATGGTGTTTGGATAGTCGGTGGGTGGAATCACGCTCGCATTGCCAAACTTCTAGGCTTACGGCGCCGAACGTCCGACGTACACGTTTTCGCCTTTAAAACTTCGGCCTCGACCTGGCTAATAACTTGGCGAGTTGACATTCTTTTATTTCATTTAAAAATACCAAAGCCGGAAATAAGTTTCATTAACCGATAAACACGGCTTTAAGCACTTTTCTGACGTGGTTTTTTCTTTCGACAAATATTTTCGGCTCACTTTATAAGCTTGCCTCGAGTCTGTCGAGAATTCCAAATTTCAACTTCTAAATTGGAGTTGCGATGACGTCGTCACAAAAGTGGAAAAATCACTAGAAAACTTATAAAGTGAACCGAAAACATTTGTCGAAAGAAAAAATTTTGCTGGAAAAGTGCTTAAAGGCGCGGTCATTGGTTTATTGATTTCAGATTTTTTTAAATTTTATATTATGAATGAATAGATTATTCTAAATTAAATTTTGACCGGGTAGAACAACGTTATTTCTTTCAAATAAACTGGCACCTGTGCGAACAACTCCTACGGGCAGTCGAGATAAAAACAAAAAACACTCGATTAAATTTCACTGACTTAATTTGCACGCGGAAATGAATATCTAACTGCGAAGGTATTTACACAAAAAATATAAACCATTATTCACAAAGGCTGATAAAAAAAAAAATATCTGGGACAGAATTTGCTGTAGGAAAACAAACGCATTACCAGTGGCTGAAAGTTATCTCCTTTAAATTACAATCATCCGGATTACGCGGCAATTCTACCAATCCTTCCATTTTTCCAAGCGCATCTGATAGGCCGATGTGGGAATGACCCGCTGGTGTTGTGTCACAATCGATCACATCTGAGATGTCCGAAATCTTTTCTCCTTCGGAGCGCTTTTGAGCCTGGGAAAGAGGTCGCGCGGGGGATAAACCTTAATAAGGTGTGGGAAACTACTGGGTTGCTCCGCCTGGACAAAAAATTCTACGACACTCGGGACCGCGTGACACGGCGCATGGAGGTGGTGCAGAAACCAGTTACAAGACCATTTTTAAAAACAACTTATATCGACAACCTACGACTCTAATTATTAAAGGCACTACGGAACAGTTCTGCGGAAAATTTGAAATCAACGGTCTCGTTGATTCGTGCCATCGATCAGTCATCGGTCGAAAGTGTGACTATTTTTAATACGCGAATACTGCTCAAATGTTTTGGACAAACTAAGCGCTGTTTTCAAAAACGGTAGAGCATCGATTATCCGAAGCAATTCGGGACTGGGGTTGTCGGATAACCCATCGAGTATGAAAAAATATATTAACCTATCCCGCGTTGAAAGTTTTCTCCGTTTGCGTGTCGCTTGGCGTTGAATTTTCGTCGATGTTAAGCCTAACGAAAATTTTTTAAAATAATAATTGTATCGTTAAAAATTATTTCTTTATTTTGCACAAACAAAATAAATATATTGAAAAATATAAAAACAATAAAAAATTATACTTCGGAAGTTAATCTATTAATAGTATCAAAAACGTTCCGATTCAGCGGGACACGCGTCAGTCCTCGGAAAAACACCAAATAAAACAAGCAAAACTCTCTTTTTCTTGGGTTTATCTGGAGATTTCGTTTCATTTCGTTGCATCGACGATAGTGGAGTGCCGCAGCTCTCGCCTTTCACTCCGGAATGCGAGAAATCGGGGCATAAGATTTTATTCTATGTCACTTTCTGACACGCAATCGTTAGATTGGCTCACTTATTCTTTAGGAGAGCTTTAAATATGTTAAAAGATCTAGATGGTAAGGTCTAGATCACGTCAGGATGTTGACATCGATTTCTTACACGCGGATTAACACGCGTTATCTGGGAGTTTCGAGTATGAGGAACGCAAATAACCCGAATAAGTATAAGTGCGAATATTAACCAGACCATATTTATAAAATAAACCAAAACGTTTAATAAATCAAAATATTAAAAGTATACAAATGAATGAATAACAAATCGTACTTAAACCTAAATCTAAATAACTAACTTAAACCTAAATCTAAATAACTAACTTAAACCTAATCTTATATTAAACCTGACGCGTGAGAGAGTTCACATCGACCGTTATCGTATTACCTTCTGTTCTTTCAATATTTCAATGTATGAGAATCTTCTTTAATTATGGATATTCTTCTTCTTATATTTTCTGTGGCACTTTCCTTTAAAGATAACTTTTCTTATGACCATCTTGTCGTATAACTGACTCTATACTTCGTATGGAGGACTCTGTAGTATGACTTTCAATTAACGAACTCTATATCGTATGGAGCAATGGAGAACACTTCGGTGGTGACCAGACCCTAAACGCCGGAGTTCGATCGGGGGTTCGCGCCTCACTCGGACGAGCTGGCAGCGGGAGTTTTTTCCGGGTTTTCCTCCTTGCCAATGACGCCTGAATAGGGGTCGGCTTCCCCTCCAAATCCTCCCGGAAGGCATTCTGTCTCCCTTTCTCGCGGGGGTCGTCTTCTATAAGGCCAGATTTAATTGCTTAGTGACCTCTCTTCTATCTTCCTCGGACTGGTCGTCTTCGATGAGACCGCTCTTCGGTCGCTGTCGCTGTGCGACCAACCACCATGTTTCTTCCGGAGTGACAAGCGAAGAGCATAACACTCCACTATCGTCGATGAGATGAGAACACTTCGAATGGCAGACTCCTTGAATGGCGATCTCCCTTCGTATGACGGTCTCCTCGAATGGTGGGAAAATGTCCCTTTTATATCGGATTTCCCTGACGGCGAAAGCTCGACTCGTCAGTCGACCGTGGAAAGGAAACAACTTCCTTTCTAAAATCGAAAGTTTCTTTTGACAACCGTTTTTGTAAAATTCGTTGAAGTTTAAATTATTTTCTATTAATTTATCCTTTTTTTCCCCCTTGATTTTGCCCAAAATGACTTTCTTCCAATTTCTAGATTCTCGCAGGAAGAAACAGTAGGGATGGTCGCGCGGCGACCAAAACCGGCCTTATAGGAGACGACCCACGCGAGAAGGGGAGACAGAATGCCTTCCGGGAGGATTTGGAGGGAAAGCTGGCCCCTATTCGGGCGTCATTGGCAAGGAAGAAAACCCGGAAAAACTGCCGCTCCCCGCGAACCCCCGATCGAACTCCGGTGTTTAGGGTCTGGTCACCACCATTACGACGGAGTCCACTCGGCCATTATCTGGAGATGTCAGCCGCTCGGGCTATATTCTGCGACCAGCCGAAGCAAAACACACCACTCACGATGGGGAAAAAAGCCTCGTTCAAATACTGGCGCGTCCTTAAGTACCCTCTCGACGCGTGTCCCGCTGAATCGAAACGTTTTTGATACTATTAATAGATTAACTTCCGAAATATACTTTTTTGTTTTTATATTTTTCGATATATTTATTTTGTTTGTGCAAAATAAAGAAATAATTTTTAACGATACGATTATGGTCGCCAAATAAAACATAATATCGGAGTAGGCAAATATTGCGGAAATTTGAATTTGCCGACTGGATCGCTTTCGGCCGATCGTTATTCGGATAATCGATGCTCTACTGTACTTGTTGAAACGTTTTGTACATTTCAGTGACATTTTACCAAGCTTCCAGCAAAAGCGATGCAAACGAGTTGCTGGTTCAACTTATCCATTTCGCAACTGGAAAGAAGAAAGCACACTCCTACACAGTATTTCCACCCACTACTTTGTCACACGCCTTCGGGAAATAGTCAAATATTCCCGTGATTGCCACACCGATACTATTAGTAGTTTCTCTACGGAAGATTGCGTCCTGAATATTTTTGATCGGCCCTCGTACACTTTTCCCAATTTTATACTTGATCCTATTTAAAATAATGTTTCACTAAAGGATGAGCTTCTTGAAATTTCTAGTTTTGCATCTCAATTATATATTACTTTCGTATAATTTTTGAAAACGATAAATATGTGTTTGTTTATATTCTTATTATTAACATATAATTTGTCTATATAAATTATTAAATTCAAAAACTTTTTCTCATAAATAAATCGTGCGTACAAATATTTTATATATTTTTCTTAATTTTTCTTGCATATTATACAATGGAACAATTATAATTTACTTATGAAATGAACATTCCTATTAATATAATATATAAATAAAAAATATGAGGCAAGAAAAATTACAAAATTCTCACATTTATTGTTTAATTTATTAATTATTTTTATAGATTTTTGTTAATAACTTTCATATCTTCCTCTTACAATGCATTGCAATATTGCTAACGATAGTAATTTTAAAATGAATGATAAAGCTATAAAATATATAATTTCTTATATAAAGAGAGAATATTTATCTTTTTAGAAATTATAACTGTCAACTAATTTATTAGAATCTTAACGTTATTCCCTACTGGAATGAATGTAAGTTATTGCTCCAATAAGAATATCCTTGAATAACAAAAATCCATTACAGATTAAAATAAATAAATATGAATATTTTTAAACAATAAAAATTAAATACCTAATGAAGTTAAATAAGTAAATAAAAGCACTTCTGTTTTAAGGTCACCAGTGTATTTAATTGTTTTTGGCCATTTTTGGAATTGAGTGCAATGTTTAAACAGAATAGAAAACACGCGCAATTGAAAATTTTCAGATTTGAATCATTAAATTGTTACAAATTTAAATTTTAGAATGTATTAAAATATAAATTAAGTTTTTAGCAGAATATTAATTGCATTTAATTTTTTATATATATATTATTATATATATAATATATACTATTATAATATATATAATATGTAAGAAATAAAAATATATTTCTCTACACTGTGTATGGTATATTCAAATATAGAATACTTTTCATTTTTTGTACAGTATCTCAAATTACTTCACAGTTTAAAAGATTTATTGTTCAAGTTTATAAATAAAGTACCTTTTTATCTTAAATTTACAGTTTCTAACACAGGCAAAAAATTACGCATAAATACTACATGAGAAATAATATAGTATTGATGATACAAGCATAAGGTAACAAATTAAATAATTCAAAAAGACATAGAAATAAAATATTTTTGCCTTTGAAACTCGGGCTAGCTTTAGCCGAAACAAATACAACAATAGTAAATAACAATTTCCAAGTAATAAATACAATAACAGCAGACAAACTCCTAGGCTATAAGAAAGACAAACACGTTTTCATGTATATGCATTTTTTTTTAATTATTTAATTTGTTGCCCTGTGCTTATATTGTCAATACTGTATTATTTTCTATTATATTGTCATATAGTATTTACACATTACCTAAAGCAATTTTAATTGTCATTACAAAATACGACTTCCTTTTGTACAAGTTCTTGATAGCTATTTTAGTAATATGACATATTACTACTTTTATAAAATGAATTTCAAATATCTTTTGTCAAAGAAATAGCATAGGATAAAATTTACTTGTTCTTATCAGATGAGTGAAGTTTTTAAAAATGTCACCTCTCCAGTCTCAATAACTTCCCTGAAGTGGTATCAATGCTGAAATATAAATTAAGAATATTATTAATATATATTACATAAAAATTACCAGAAATAATTTAAATTTAATCTATTGAATAAAATATAATAAATATAAAAATAGTTTAAAGAAATAAAAATCTATTAATGAAATTAATCCAACTTAAACAAAATTTTATTTTAGTAATATTTGTAAAATCCTTTGGTTTATTAAACCATTTTAGCTTTACTTAATTAATGACTTCAAGCATGACCAAATTAAATGTGAAATTAATTTTTATTGGAATAATATAATAAAAATTAATTAATTTATAGCAAAATGGCATTCATACTTTCATGAAAGTTCTTAATATATATGATAACTTGTAATTAGATATCTTTTATTGTTAATATCTTCATAAATAATAATACTTTTAAGAAATTTAGAATTTTCATATAGCCTTACAACAAATAGGGTTGGCATCAAAAAGGGCATCTGACCGTATAACTTATGCCAAAACTATATGGAAGTAAGCTATAACTGTGTTAGGATGTCCTCCCAAAGCAATGCGCAGTCGTGTTGCCCGAAAGTTATGTCAAATGAGCTGGGGATACCAAACCAAGAACAAGTTCGGATAAACAAGTTAGTCCAGAAAGAGAAGAGGAAGAATACAAGTATAAGAATAGGTACTTTAAACATCGGAACATTGAATGGGAAGAGTAGAGTTGGTTGATCTTATGCAAAGGAGGAGAGTGAACATTTTGTGCCTGCAAGAGACAAGATGGAAAGGAAATAAAGCTAAAGAACTTGGTGAAGGGACAAGCTGTTTGTGAGTGGAACAAATAAGGTAGGAAGGAATGGAGTTGGCATCATAATTGATAAAATTCTAAAAGACAGTGTCTGTGAGATTAAACAAAGGTGTGATATTGAAGGTGTGAATTATGAGCATTAAGTTGGACATTGGTGGAATTTTCGTTACAATTCTGTTTGTGTATGCTCCTCAGTCAGGTAATGGAGAAGAAGAAAAGACAAATTTATGGTCAGATCTTGACGATATTATAATGTGTGTTCCTATAAACGAGAGATTAATCTGTGGGGTGATTTAAATGGTCACGTTGGGAAGAGGAAGAATGCAGAAAGAAGAGTTCTTGGAAGGTGGAGTGTGGGAGAAAGGAATAGAGAGGGAGAAAGACTAGTTGATCATGCTCTGGCTTTTTACTTTGCGCTAGTTAACACCTTTGAGAAGAAAGCGAACCAACTGGTTACATACATGAGTGGTGGTAGATCCAGCCGGATTGATGTTTTTTCTTGTGCTGTGAGAGACATCTGAGAAAAGTGAGAAACAGTAAAATGTTAAATGGCAAAAGTGTTGCTGCTCAACATAGAGTCCTCCTGGTGGACTATAACTTTCTTATGGGCCATTGTAAGAATTGTGTTAGCCAAATTGAACAAACAATCAAATGGTAGAGATTGAAAGAGGAGGAATTAAGGAAGAGTTTAAAGTAAATGTACTAAAATAAATCCAGTTTCCAGATGTGCAAAAATGGTGGTTGCTGAATAGTAATTGCACCTTGAAAGTTGGAGAAGTTTTGAGGAAAAACTTCAGGGAAGACATTGCCAGAAGGAAAGGAACTTTGGTGGTGGAATGCTGAGGTACAAGCCACAGTTAAACAGAAGAGACAAACAAATGGTGGGATTTGATGGGAAGGCCGGAAGATAAAGAAACTTACCATTTGGCAAATAAAATGACAAAAAGGGTGGTGGCTATTGTGAAAGCAAAGGCTTTTGAAGAGGCTTATAAAGTTTTCAAAAGGAAAGGTGGTGAAAGACAGTTGATGAGAATTGCCAAAGCAAGAGTTAAGGCATCAAAAGATTTTACCTCTATTAAACTGATTAAAGATGATAAAGGAGTGGTATTACAAGATTACAAAAGGGTCAAGGAAAGATGGAAAGAATATTCTAGAAATTTATTGAATGAAAAAATCCAGAACTTTATACGAGAATGGAGAGGCAAATTAAAGAGTGGTGCAAGATATTAGCAGAGAAGAAGTGGAAAGTGTGCTTAGGAAAATGAAGATGGGGAAAGCAGTAGGCACTGATCGGATTCTGGTTGAGACTTGGACAGGTTTGGGTAAGGAGGGAATGGTATCCTCTGGGACCTTATGAAGAAACTCCGACAGCAGAAGATCCCAGATGAATGGAGAAAGAGCATTCTGGTGCCAATCTTTAAAGGTAAAGGAGATGTACAGAATTGCAGAAATTACAGGGTTATAAAGATATTCTCCCATACTATGAAGATTTGGGAGAAAATTGTAGAAAGAAGAATTAAGCAGGAATCTGAGATTGGAGAGGAACAGTTTGGCTTTATGCCGGGAAGGGGGTACGACCAGTGCAATCTTTGCTCTAAAACAGCTGAAAGAAAGCACAGAGAAATGGAGGAAAATTTGAACATGGTTTTCATAGAAAAGGCATATGATAGGGTACCAAAACAAGAGGTATGAAGATGTTTGAGGGAAAAGAATGTTCCAGAGAAATATGTTAGGCTCATCAAGGAAAAGTACAAGACAGCAGAGATCAAAGTTAAGAGCAGTGTGTGCAATACAGAAGGGTTCTTCGTTACTGTTAGTTTACATCAGGAATCGGCCCTTAGCCCTTATTTGTTTGACCCAATAATGGTTGTGTTGGTATGTGATGTGAAGTGTGAGGCTCCTATGTACTATGCTGTTTGTGAATGATATTGTGCTGTGTGAACTTTCCAAAACCAAGGCTGAGAAGAAACTGGAAGAAAGGGGCATGAATATTAGCAGAACTAAAAAAGCTTATATGACTCTGAATGGTAGAGACGAGTGTAATATTAAAATCCAAAATCTGTGACTTCCTTTTTTCCCGAGTTTTAAATATGTTGGGATATTTATCGAGATAGGAGGAGGATTGAACTCGGAGGTGCAGCATAGAATTCAATGTGGATGGATGAACTGGAGGAAGCTGAGCAGTGTGTTATGCGACAAGAAGGTTAGCTGCAATCTGAAAGGAAAATTGTATAAATCAGTTGTTAGACCTGCAATGTTATATGGATTGGAGACATGGGCAATAACAAGAGCCCAAGAAAGAAAGATGGAGGTAACAGAGATGAGAATGTTGAGATGCATGTGTGGAGTGTCAAGGAAGGATAGAATAAGGAATGATTTTATTAGAGGTTCTGTTAAGGTGGACCCCTTGAGCAAAAAGATGCAAGAATGTAGGTTGAGGTGGTTTGGCCACATAGAGCAAAGAAGTGACAATTATGTTGGAAAGAAGATTGGAAAACTGTTAGTAAAAGGAAAGAGGAAAAGATGCATTGGAAAGATAAGGTGGAAGAGGAAGAAGACTTGAACCAGAGGGGACTTAAGAGAGAAGAAGCCCTAGATAGGGAGAAATGGAAGAAACGTATTAGAGAAGGAAACGTCAACCCCATATAAACATGGGAAAAGGTGAGGATAAAGAAAGAAATTTTAGAAATTTAAATAATAGAATATATAAACTTCCAATTCATTTAGTTAAAATTTTCTTGTAAGCAATTGTTACTTTTTTCTAAGTACCTTGGTTTTAAATATATGAAGGTGTAATATTAGTGATATCTAGCCTCATAAATCAAATAAATTTCATGAGAAATCTGGTTAGAAACTTCATAAAAATGAAAAAAAAACTTTTACACAAAATTTTCCAAATATTTAATAATGTAAACATTTATTAAAATCTTAGAAATATCTGAAAACAAAACTATTACATTTATTTTATTATTGTATTTCAAATAAAATACAATAATAAAATTACATTTTTAATATATCTAGATTTATATTATGCATGATCTAATATTGTATATACAGTACTGAATGAAAGTAAAGAACTTTTGGTTAAGAACCATATACTGGGCAGAGACATTATGAATTTTAAATGCATTAAGATCACTATAAGCTTAATCTCCTATAAAACAATAATTTTTTACCCAAAAAAGTTAAAAAACTGATTTCATTGAAATAAAAATGATGCTTCTAAAAATTACTGGAAGACTCCAATTATTGAATTGCAGCAGAATATAAATAAAATTTCAACATTATAGTTATTTAAAAGTTTTATAAGTAAATTAAAGTCCATTTATATTCAGATTAATTAAGTTTTATTAAAGAAAATAATAATATTGAAAATGTTAGAAATTTATATTTATTTGTTTATTACAGAGTTGATTTTTAATAATATGTATCCACAATTAATTTGATTACAAACATATTAAAAATACTAATATTTCTCACCATTTTACCATATCGGCACCTATAATATCATAAATATGATATTCCATCCCTAATTTTGCAGCTTTTGTGAGTTTTCTTTGTTCTAATTCTGACTGTAATATTTCTTTATATTTAGTCTGTTGAATTGATCTTAGTATAGCTTTACGACCAGAAGTATGTGACTTTATAAATTCTCCCGAGCCTGGTATATCCAACCACCAACATCCAGCATCTCTAATTATTAAAACACCAGTTTGAACAAGTTCGCTAAAACAAAAATTAATCAAATGAGCAACTGTTAACAATAAATTTTATAAAAATTTTGAAATAATTAATTTATACCTTATATCTTCTTCTTTAAAACCATATTTAATTAAGGTTTTCCTACTGTAACTTATATCAGGATATTCTTTAATTACTTTATTCAAAAACCGTACTGAAATGTTTAAAATAGGACTTGGTTTTAATTAATTAATCACTATTTTTCAAGTATAACATTAAAATTACACAGAAAAACTGATAACTAAACTACATATTAACAAAAATCTTTGACATCAAAATCTGTATATTTTGATACTGCAACCATAACAGTAATCACATTTCTGTATTAGTAACTCTCATTGTAAATCATATTAAATCAATTATTTGACAAATCTGACATTTTCTAAAATGGAAAAAATTGAATGTGTGTCAATAAAAACCATAAAAGACAGATATGACACCAGTCTATAATTGGCAATATAGCCAGCTTCAATTCTGCGTGATACTCAACAAAATTATTCTAACATTAAAGAACATGCTTAGCATAATTGGGTCAGATCACAAATGAAAAATTCAAGGAGCCAACCAGATTTAAGCTGAACTCTTCAGACAGATGATTTGTTATTTTCATCACTGGCTACATTAGCATCAATTGGTCAGTCTGAGCAAAAGTTTCATCAATATTCTTTATACATATCTAGCAACATGATATATTTTTACAGTAATTTATCACTTTGCATCTAAATTCTTTAATATTTGAATAAATAATTATTCATTTAAATCCATTATTTACATTTAAAATATATTATCATTTATAACTAATTTTCTATTAATTAAAATTTTGACTTATATATTTGCCTTACCTATTATTTCATTATTTTTGCATAATCTATTTAAATGATCTTCATAGTCTTTCATAAATACAATGGCAAATTCATCATTGTTTCTTCCTAATTTAAAAATTCTTATTTCACCTTCATTCAAAAGACTATCCTAAATAAACATAAAGACATATTTAAAATTTTCTATCATTTAAAACAAATCAATTATAATGTTCTTAATTTCTTATTAATTCAACCACTTCAACAATTGTTTGTTTAAGGAAACCAAATCTTTAATTATTACTGAAAAAACATTTTCAGTTATCATTTAACTGCCATCAATTTCCTTTAATTAGTTGTTAAAGTACAGTAGTTGAATTAACTGTATAGTTTCATAACTGGTATAAATTTTCTATTACGACTATGCTATATTTAAATTACATTTTTTTTTATTAGTCATCTTTGTATAGTATTATATAGTTTGTTCAAAAACTTTGACATTACTATGAATCAAAATAAATTACTGTTATCTGTAATGATCCCCATTAGCTCCGTCGAAGAACAAAGTAATATGGTACTTCATCCAAAAAAATACCTGAAGGTTGAAAGGAAACACATTCTTTGAAAAGTAATTTATTTTGATACCAACTTTTTAGACAAATTATAAGACTTAATTGAAATTGTACTTTTGAGAATGTAATATCAATTTATGACCAAGTTTTTTCCCACATTCCAATGGAATGGCTCATTAACTGATAGTTTTTTTTTTATCAATGAATTAATAATAAATACCACGGCTCACTACACATAGGAATATATAGAAATAAATATAAACTTACTAATTCTTTATCAACTTCTGTTCTATTTTTCATTAAAGTATAAATTTGATGTTTCATAATAATTGGGGGTAACTTATTATCAAATTTTTCAATTGGAAATAAAGATTTCAGCATTTGTAGACATTCTTTAACATTAGAAAAGTCATCTGAAATAAAATTTTAAAATTATTATATACATATAACTATAATATAAGTGTAATATAACATATAACAGAATAATAATAATAATAATAATAAAATGTTAGCTAGGAAAGATTAAAACTATATATCACTTTACAAACTGTCTTATCCACAATGCATGCAAGAGTTAAGTTCCAACACATCATTTAAATCAACTTTTGTATAACTCAAAAATGACTAATAAAATATTGCTACTACATCCACAACATGCCAAACTTATCAAAATATTCATAATAACCTTAGAAGAATAATTAGAATAATAGTAATTATATATACATAAAACTTATAGTTATTGTTCCTTTCTTTAATATGTTAAAAATTATAAAGTATCTTTATGATTATACCAAACAAATTCATACAAGTTAAAAGTTACATAATTTGGAGACAAACTGTAACTTAATTATTATATAAATAAATATTTGAATTTCTAGTCACATATTATATTCTTCAATATTTCCATCTTATTTGATACTGTGAATTTAGATGCATAAACTGAATTCATTAAATCAGATTAATAGAGGTATTAAAGCATCAAACATCAACATTGGATTTTCTTAGCAACAAAGACTACAGCCAAACTTAAATATGGAAAAGGAACTCGTTTGCACCGAAAGAAAAGAAATTTATGTAAGAAATGAAATTTTATTTAACATAAAATATTTTTTTTATAATTTCGTAATTTAATAAAATAAATCAGTCATAATTTGTGAGACTTTTCAATCTCTGAGACTTTGAAGTATCATAAAATTCAATCAATTATTATTGGGAATGTAAAAGAATGCAAGTTGAATGATTACACTTATCTGTTTTGTTACAATTACTATTTATATAAACATAAAAAGTTAATAATGAATTTGTTTAACATATATTTATCTTTTCTACACTTTTTACGACATTTTTTACATTTACACTATTACCGTCTTAAACGGCTAGAAGCCGTAGCCGTTTACAAAGCCGGCCGAGAGACCGCTCGCGTCGACCGGAAGGAGGAGCTTAGTCCGTCGCTAGTCCGGCGGGCCCTGGGGGACGCCGACTCGTAATTATATCCGTCGGCGCACGATCGCGCACGTCGGCAAAATGGATTTCGTCGAAACGACACTCGATTTAGTTTTAAATCTTTACGTTCCGTTCCGAAGCATTCCAAACCTATCCGACCCGAAGAAGAACTTTGCGACGGTTCGAAAACGTTTGTCACCCGCCGTATTTTTTACACGTAACGCACCGGTAACGGATTACGGATGCGAGGATTTTTATTTCGGCGTCGAGGTAAAGACGCACTCCGTACTTGCACTATTATTAGTAGTTCCGTACGTTACCTTCACGCGACACGACGCAACGCGACAAAACGGCAAGACGACAAGATTACGTCCGGACTCTCGGTCATAAAATAGCTTAGACGACAAATTCTACGATAAACCGGACGTAAATCTAAACGCGGTCTCCTCAAAGTCCACAAACGACAATTCTCTCCGAATCGTCCCGAAAGAGAAAATTTCTAAACTCCACATTACAACAATCAAAACCCTAAGCAGCTATTGGGTTTTCATTTAATAATTTTCAATCACCAAAAGGACACGGAGAAAATTTTAACGGTGCAGAGGAGAAGGAGTATAAAGATAACCTCTAACCCATACGTAAGGGGTTTTCTGACACATTAGTCCATTTGACAGTTTACAATTCACTGTCAAATGGACCAGTGAGGATCTGCTACTGAATAATACACTACGTACTATACTAACAGATCCTCATTATTTGTAATACCCATTTAATCTCTCTGTAAATTGACAGAAGGAGCTTGTTATTATTAAGAAATAAAGAAATTTTTACATTTAAAATTTAATATTAAAAAAAAAAAGGATAACTTTTAACCTTTATCATCTACCAACGAACTTTTTCTGGTTAATTTTGTTTTCCCATAAAAAGCGGGTAACTGGCGTTTCATAATTAATCTGTTCAAATTGTAATGCAAATGGGAAAGAATCTCTGGCGAAATGTCGAGATTAAAGCGAATTACTCAATCGCACGTTGAAAACAACAACGAAATGGATCGAAAACACAGACTTAGTGACGTAAGAAGATATTCTACGCGAGTTGCCAACCTTCTGTCGTAAAAATTCCCTAAACACACTCGAAATTTCCCTTAAGTAATTCTTTTTTCGCAATGGGTATTAACTCTTTTGCTGCCCGAAGAGGGCGTCTTGTCATACTTATTTTTCTTTATTATAACAAGAACCACCGGTGCATTTAAAGTCGTGAATGAAACGGCAATTTCTTTTCGGTGTATTAATTATTACTCCTAAATATAACTTTATAAACAAACAGTAATTAAAATTTAAGAACTGTGGTTTAAGAACGGTGGTTTAAGAACTGTCAAAAATAAGAATAACGTATTCCTCCGAAAGTTTAGGACCAGCCTGTAAAACTGAAAGAAAACAATACGGTATGACAAAAGTAAAATTACAGAATATTTTGTTTGTCTTCAGTTAGCTCCAATGTGCTATTCGAGCTAAGTCGATTTGGCATTTTTTGTAATTAACGTTGAATCGGAGCAACGGGTATCGGATTGCCCCAGGCAACAAAACTGGGTAAAAGCCGTGCTCTAACTAGCTTTTCGCATACACTGTGCAAAATTGTACTTTTGGCTCCCACTTTCTGCAAAAAATAAGAATAAAAAACAAATAAGATGGAAAGAGTCAGTTAATTTTTAACTAAATGTTAATAAATCGAATTCTTCGGCAATTTAAAATTTTAAAACGTAAAAATATGAAAATAAACATCTAATACTGATCATTTTTGATACTCCGTTTCAAGGTTTCCTTTCTCGCTGAGTCGTGCCCTCGCACTTGTTGTATCCGTCTAGTTTTGGCACGGTAAAGGCAGCCCGAATCATTAACGTTCCACCTCCCTCTGTGCGCCACGATAAAAGCTGAGGGTAGGGGTGACCATACGTTAAAATACGTGCCCGCTATTCGTCTGGTTTACCTTTTTCCTAATTCCCAAGAGAGCGTCAGATTCCATTATCGACAAACAACAGAAAGTTCGTGACTTCTGGTCTATTCTGCAAATACAAGGGCTGCGTTTCTTTATGCAGCGAGAGTGCAGCGTAAATGACGTCACGACCAGCTATCGCTACACGTCGCTGCATCATAGTTTAGAAACGCTTTCCGCTCGAGCGAAACATGGACGTTCATAATCTATCCTTTAATTCCAGTTACAGCCGAAAATAGTGCTTTAGTTAAAAAACTACAATACTTAAATAAAGAGATATAAAGAATCTAGCATTTATCTTTCCATACATCTGAACAAAGTAAAGAGATAAAAGATATATAATTATATTTAAAATATAGTAGTTTCTTATACTTTAGATAACTTTCAGAGTCATTTCATAAAATTTAATCCTTCTTAATCTTTCCATAATATTTTTATCAACAGTCACTTCGACTTTTTTATTTTTACAGCATAATTTCGTAATATACACAGAAGAGTCCATTTTGCTTTACACGTGTAGCGGACGTAAAAGCTGCTTTATCTTCGCTGCAGCGACCTCTTGCAGCAAACGTTTAGAAACGGTTCGCTACATTGCAGCGCTGCATTTAGAAACGGGTTTCAGAGGGTTTGCTGTAAAGTGCTTCTCGAGCGCTGCATAAAGAAACGCGGCCAAGAGAAACTAACCGATAATTATTGGCAAGCGCCAAATCCGACAGAGGGCGCTGTCTTTGGGCCAAGATGGCTGACGAAACAGGTAAGAAACTGACCACGTGTTTTCTCAGTGCCCGTGCCGATTCAGTTTCTATCGGTGACGACTACTGCGAAGACCAAATGGAGAACAAATCATTGAATATATGTCAAATTCTAGACTGTATCGGCGACAGGAAACGTTGTCTTGTAGAAGGTGAAGCTGTTTTGGATATATGAGACGTACACACACACACACACACACACACACAAAACATAACGTGTGCTGCAAACTTATCACTGGCCTATGTTGTATAAGTGCTGAAAGACTCAGCAGGGTAGCCTTCAGATTGGCACTAATTTTAAATATTATGATAAATAAAATTGTTTTTATATTGGAACATGGTGTATACTGCTTAAAATATTTAAATACTTCTCATCTGTTAACGTGTAATAAACACGCTATCACATGTTTACAAAAACTAGACAGCCCCGCTTTGTACGTGCATTCTCCCTGTAATTGAGATGTATTAAAATGCCAATATCTCAGATTGCAACACTAAAGCAACAACGTGAACTTCGGTGTTGCTGTTAGAGTTTAATCCACAAAATACGATGTGGTCAGCATCCAAAAAGGCTTCACCTTCTACGAAACAACGTTTCCTGTCGCCGATATAGTCTAGAATTTGATATAAATTCAATGATTTGTTCTCCATTTGGTCTTCGCAGCAGTCGTCACCGATAGAAACTGAATCGGCTCAGGCACTGAACAAACACGTGGTCGGTTCCTTACCTGTTTCGGCAGCCATCTTGGCTCAAAAACATGTCACAATTGGCTCTTGCCAATTGTGACATGGACACAAACACAATACTGGGCTAGAATTTTCGTCACAATGCTCTCAATTTCAGTATATTGCCGCTATACATCATACTTTTCCTGTCAACAATAGAGCCATGCTGGTCATCTATCTAACTCCTTCGGGAGAAAATTTTTGAATTGAATAACGCGACTTCCGGTTCAAACCGGAAGTTGGTACAAATGATTGTCTGCCCAAGAGGGAGAACAACAGACAGATGCCCCTTAGTAAGGGTTAATTAACACGTGTTAGTTCGTCTTACCCATTACGAATTCACGCGATATATTTGGCTAGAGGAGCTACGGTTGATCTCAGCCAACCAATGTATTCCTTCAGCAGTGTTGCCGCAATGAAATTTCAAAACGTACTGAAGCGCCTTCAAAAAATGTACTATTTTCCTTCAAAATGTACTAGTTCTATGAATACTTTGTTTACGAGCCTATATATATATAGGCACGTAATATATAGTTTATTGTCAAATAATTTAATTTAAAATTTTATTTTTGGAATTTTTTGAAAGCTATTTATAAATATCTACACATCTATTAGTTATTATAAAATGAGCATTACATTGACAACATTTATTAATTATACTATTGAATTTCATCTTAATTTTATAACCAATCGTGCTTTAAAAAATAATTATAAATTTGTTATATTATATTATTATATTCTTGTTTGCTTAAAACATGCGACTCAAAAAAAACCCAAAATGGCGGCTCAAGAAGTAGATCACGCGTCCTGGCCTTCTTATATAGACCTTGGAACAGTCGGAAGCGCGGCCATTTTGGAACCACACGTAACATTAACCGTTATTTCTTTTACTACGATTACTAAAATTGAAGTTCATAATTTAAGAATTAAATTATAGTGGTAGAAAATAATATAAAAGTATTTATATTATTTATACTCGTACAATTTCAAAACTATTTTCTGTAATAATTTGATTCTGACTTAACGGATATTTTGATATTATTGACGACAAAAGTTTAAAATCATTGATTTCCTTACCTGTCCATTATTTTTGTTTGACGGAGTTGAATTGTTTGGACCACGTGGCATGAAAAATTTTGTCAAGGTCCTGATGAGAATGTGCAGACAACTGAACGTGTGAAAGAAGACCACCGTGCAACTATCTATGTTGTGATTGGATAATTTAAATTAGCAAGCAGTGATACTAGTGAGACTTTATTAAACTCATTTTTTCGTTAAGGCGTGAAATATTATTTTGTACCGTAAATGGTACTTGAAATATTATAATGAACTGAAAATCTAAATGTACTTTCAATTTACTGGAAAGGGCAAAATGTGCCAGAAAAGTACAAATGTACTAGGAACGGCAACACTGTCCTTCATCTAAATGCTTGTAGTATATGCGCGCGTAGGACTGAAGTCGCCGTCTCGAGATTGGAAGAAACATAGTAAGCCGGTTGCTTAATCCAAATAAAACGCATCGAATAGTTGAACTGCACGTTTACTGTATATGTAAATTTACATCTTTACTTTTATTTGTTAAAGAGGAACGGTGAAAAGTTGCGCCGCCTATAGAAATCACGTGACTTATCAATTAACGTAAATTACTGGCTTCGGTAGGATTTTAGGCGAAAACACATACTGTAAGAGATTTTTATCTTTAGAGAGGTTGCGGCCGAACTTTTCGTCTCTAAAACGTGAACGTCGAACACCGCCATCTTGTAAGCCTAGCAGTTTGAAAATGGGTAACCTCATCGAAATCGCGCTCGACGTTCCAAACGACTAATGAATCATTAAACACCATATTAATTAAACAAACATTAACGTTTTCAAACATTGTCAAACTTCTAGGCTTACAAGATGGAGGCGCTCAACGTTCGTTTTAGAGATGAAAAGTTTGGCCGCAACCTTTCTTTTATCTCTTTTCCAACGTCTAGTTCAAAAGAATTAACTTTCTTCCCCTCACAATATTCTACTGTGAAATTACTTCCCGCTTCGACTTCGTCGAGTGGCAAAGTGGCAACTAGGGTTTCTCAAACGAGATCCCGCTTGTTTTTTTTAACCCGGGAAATCCCGCAAATTTCTTAAAAATTCACTTTTTTCTTATTTTGTGTTAAGGTCGAGGAAATTTTGCGAATAGAAAGTACTTTATCTTAAAAATAATTAATTCTGTCCCGGGGCAAGCGAAAGACCAGGAAATGAGAAACCCTAGTGGCAACAGAGCGCTGCCTCTCCAGTCAAATATTACAGCTCCGTGGACGACACTCTGAATGGAATTATTTTTAGATTCTTTGGGTCCTGCGGTGAACTAGAAATCCTTACGTGTGTCAGTACAATAAATCGCATACGAGAGCTTCCCTACTTACGAACAGTTTGATCGTACGTCTGAAATTTAATTTCGCGTGGATTGTGAAGTTCTCTTGTCGCTAGTGGGGTGGCTTTGAAGTTTGGCCAGTAATTAATTTAAACTTATTTTTATAGCGTATGTAGTTTTTTGTTTTGGCCCCAATTGAGGTTCCAATGCCGCTCGCAGCTTTATGGTTGGTTGACTATAAAGTTGAATAGAGTGGATTGAAAATAATCACCGTCATTTAAATAAAAGTATTAGTACTGATACATATATATCAACGTCCCAAAGCCCATGTTTTGATATTAATCACC